GTTAGGCTATTTGGATATGGGCAAAGTCACTTCAAGCCCCTTTCAATAACATTTCAAATCAGGAATAAAATCTGATAATAATTCAATTGAATATTTCATGAAGGTCCAGCTAAAGAGCATGCTCTGGAGTTAACAAATATACGGACTAGAATTTCCATATGGACTGCAACAGAAAATTCCATTCATTTTTTCCATATGAGGAATTTTTTTTTTTTTTTTACGATAACCTATAAACCTTAAAAGACCTACTTTGAGCTATGAGGTTTTTAACTGGTTAATGCTTTTGTTGAAGCTGTCAGTCTGCACTCTTTCAACATATTTTTTTAAATAATCATGTTTAACAGTGAAATCCCTGAAGAAAAACTACATTACCCATGATTTTGGAAAGAAATCTTTACCAATCAGAGAATCAAAACAAGCAAATAGCACTAAAAGAGCTCTTTATTGCCCACCAATTCCCACGAAGCACTATAAAATTAAAATCAACTCTTTAAATCAATATTCTTATATTTATCCATTGGTTTTATTTTTGATTAGATCAGTTGCAATGCTTCATGGGATTGCAGTTATTTCCCTCATTAAAGCTGTTAATAACACAGTCTTGTAGCTTTGTATTTTTTGACCAATTTTCAAATCCCGTTTCGCTTCAAATCAAAGTTTGTAATGCCGTGATTCACCTCGTAACTGGTTGGTTTGGTCTTTAACAAAAACTTTTAAAAATCTCTATAGGAAAAAGTAAAGGGAAAGAAACTTCCGGAAGCCAAAGCTGTTGAAAAAGTGGGCAGACACTGTTACACCATTTACTAGCACCTAGCAACACCCTAAAAACCACTCTGAACACCTTATCAATAGAAAAGGACAAATACTGGGCAGGTTTTCAGGCCAATTCTTGTATCACAGTAGCTAGTTTTTCCACGGGCAAACACTACCCTGTTTGTTTCTATGATAGTTCAATTACCAGAGGTACGTCCTTTACAAACCTTAAAATAATGATTCTTCCCCTCAAAAAGACAAAATTTTTAGTCTTTTCTTTGCTCCCATCTGGGTAAGAAAGCCACCTCTTGTGTTTACATCACAAAGATTGAAGAACTGCTTTTTCTCCATAATATATATCACCAGAGAGCAAAGATAAAGCTGTGTGGGGCAGCTGCAGTAGAATAGAAGAAGGATGATGTTATTTTAAGCTCTTCCAGCAATTGGGCTCAAGCGTACTGTCAAGTCTAGCAAAGTCAGAGACATACTGACACAATCCACCGATGTAATGATACAATCTTGTTTTATCATTCCCTCTTTCATACCCTCAGCAATAAAAAGGCTAAATAAATTCGGTAAATACAAAAATACACCACACACACACACATTCTCTGGACCCTCATCACCTAGTGTGGACAGACATTTCCCTTGGTATATATCTGAATGGGACGCCTAATTGACTTGGGATGTTTGTGTGGCTGGCTAAAAGACTAGAAACGACAACGTTTCCACTGCAAAATAGTGGGTAGTGACTTGTCATGAACCAAAAGACAGACATTTATATATTTTTCAGTGTATAACTGGCATAGATGGGTGCAGGTGAAATGAACACCCATGTTCCACTCTATTTATTTGGGTTTGTTGCCCCCCTATTCCTGCGCCAGCAAAAAATATCAGGTTTCCAAGGCTACACAGCATGCCTGTTAATCATGGCTGTTCAGTCCCTTTTTCTCAGCCAAAAAACACTTTCCACCTTTGTTTAAATGTCCAGGTAGCCATGATTTCTGAAACTGGGAAACATCACATGCCATGCCCATGAGAGCTGATCAAAAATCCTTAAAAGCAATAGTTTACCCAAAAATTACAATTCTGTCATCATTTACTCACCTTTGTGTCGTTTCACACTTGTATGCCTTTCTTTCTTCACACAAAGAATATATATACTGGTTTGGAAATATATGAGGGTGAATGAAAAATGACAATTTATTTCTTGGTGAGCTAGGCTAACTCTTTAACACAAGGAATCTAGTATTCTGCATCTAGGATGGCAAATCCCCCCTTTTTTTATCAAATGACATTCTGTGCAACTATGAGAAAGGCACAAGGAAGCAGAAAACCCCACGAGAGACAGGGAGGCAACATGTAATCTACAACAGCTGTGAAAGGGGTAACATCGAATACTCCTGAGGCTTCAAACACAAAACAAGGAGAGAGAAAAGGGACTCACAGCCACAGAACACACCGTCTAGAGTAAAGAGTTTTGGAGAACTCAATGAGTGTGTGAGCAGCTGTTCCTTTCGGGTCAGTATGGCGAGACTGTTGGTATTAAACTGTCAAACACAAGCCCGTCTGTGTGCAAGGTTTCCCTCTAACTGCCCCTCGGCTCGTCTCGACACCGGCTAACACTGCTCAAAGCCCTGAGGAAGGAGAGGCGGGGGAGAAGGGGGTGGTGTAGCCTCCCGGGATCCCAAATAATAAGCCTGACTGTTTACCTTACAAGCGCACCATAAATTCTAGGTCTAAGAAAGCAGGTTTCTATATCCAACCCCTCCAAGGAGAGAGAGACAGCCCAGTTGTGAATTATCTGCCGAGTACGCAGAAGGCCACATGGGGTGTTTAGTAGTTTATTTTTCACGGCGTTGAAGAAAATGTAAATATTCAAAGTGTTTATTCTTCACCGTTTGATTTGACTTATTCTGGGTCTAATTAGGACTAAAATGTAAGAAAAGTAACGCTAGAGGTCAAAAATTCAAAGGAAATCCTATTCCACGTGTCATTACTATAAAGTATGCACATCTAGCTACATTAACTCAAGTGATTTAAGCCCTCTTCCTATAGTTCATCCTGAAGCAAACACTTTGTTGGATCCATTATAAACATGAAAAAAGCTGGAGACCTTAGGAAGTGCTTCGACTACTAATTCATCACAGCGCAAAAACATTTTAGGGTGTGCACCCAAGGGGGTGTTTGGTAGAATCTCCTAAAAGCTGGTGTCATAAGGCAGGATTTATTAGAGGTTAAGTATCCCCCTGCTGCTTTTGCCTTTTTTTTCCAGCAGCCCCTGCAAGACATTTGTCAAAGAAAAGGAGAGAGGGGCTAGAAGTTCAAGCAAACCTACATTTAGTGTACTTCTTGTCATCGAAGACCTTCAGGAGCAAGTTTCGAGTAGCTTCTAAATGAGGTCCGGCCCTTGATTTATAGTCTGTTTTAATGTTTTGAGAAAATAAATACAGCAGGGGAGATTTTCACCACACTGTCATCACACGCATCGGAGAGCCGATTTGAAGCACACATCCCCTTCAGATCTTACATAAACACAACAACTATGTGGCATAAATCAAACCTGTGGCAGCGCACATAGTACGAGTGCTGTAACGCAAAGGAACGAGGAAAATATTAGCATATGTTTGAAGTCATGCATCTTCAGCTGTCCACAGAAGCAAAACAAACTTAAGTCCTTCTGTGCAATTTTCCAATCTCTGCGGTTTGATTTTCCACCACAGTAATAAAACACAGTCTTAGAAAGCGTCACATAAATAAAGTGTTGAATCAAAGCAATTTAGCTGCAGCTCTGTCATGCAAGAATGCATGCAATTGTACATTTCTGTGACGTCCATGATAAAACAAACGGTTATTGTGACATAAATATGTACCTAACAAAATGCTAAAGGAAAATAGCTGGCCGGAACAAAGATGATCTAACAACTGTTCTCAAAAAGTGCAAATGTTCGCCTGCGATAAATGGCATATAATGACAAATGACTTTCTCCAGCATTTTTCCCTGCACTTATCGCGTCACAGCAAACTACACTTAAACACTTTGGGTGAGAGCAGGAAACCAGTATTTTAATTAATTCCTTCCAAGGCTTTCATCAACCTCTACTCCTACAATCCTCCTTTCAAACCACCAGACACTTTCATTCCCTCTCTCTCACTGTCCTGTTGTTGGCGTTGTCTAATAATAGTATATGAACTATAATAACTAGTTGAACGTTGTAACACAGGGTGAATTGTAACACCATCAGAATGAGTTACAGGGGTTGAAATCTATATCATACACGACCACCTCCCTCCTGTGGTGATTGTGTAAAATGTAAAGGGGTTTATAGGACAGAAAACAATTTGGAGGTAACCATTTAGTAAAAAATTTAATGACAGAACTATCTTCTGAATCAGCAGGTTCTCATGCTTGACATATAACAGCCACAGATTTCATCTGCATGTTTAAAAACCCGGAAATATCACACCTGACAAGATGGGGAGGGTTGTAACACTTTCCATGCACTTCTACTGGACTCACAAAGACAGCACAATATAGGAAAGTGTATATATGTGCTACGTTTTTTAACTAAAGCATTACTTATGTATACCATTTTTAATTATTATTATTTTTTATTAAATTAGACTATGGGACTACCAATAGACTATGCATAAAATTGGAATATTATACCACAAATAACAAGCCTAAATAAATAAACATATACACACATACGCAAAGGTACAAACGAACAAAATGTGTCACGCAGACAGGTATTATTTTCATTAAGACATGGTAACAAAGTGTTTTAATCACTTTTCTCTGAACAAAATGTACATTTACGAACTAAAGCTGAACTTCTAGGATGTTCTAACGCGGTACAAAATACTTTCAGTGATGTCCCCGAGAATACCCTATACTAGTTAACTAAAGGATTTAATTGCGTTATTATTATGCTAACGCATTATTCTTGAAACGTTTTAAGAGACGCGCACTGATTAACGCGCGATGACAATGATAACAGATAAAGAGAAATCAATTACTCGCGGCACAAGGAAAACCTGCAAAGCATTTGGAGCTAAAAAACATCATTATATATCACTGGTCTCTTTTAGAAATGTCAACCACGTTTTGTCCCTGCAGCGCAACAGTAGACCAGATCTGCATGCATCAAGTAGCCAAGGTGCATTCGGGTTCATTCCAGCCTTACTATTCAAGAGAATTCACAATTTGATATAATAGTAAATCGATAGTAAATCGCTTCACATACCTCTTTTTGGTCTCGGGAAACTTTCGTGTAGATGAAATACGACTTTCTCCACAAAATGCTGAATGTTGCTGTGCTCTGGTCCGCGGACAAACACCATCCAGTCGTGCGTAAAACCTTCCACGGTGGGTTTCTTTCGGAGCTGGGCACGATGACCGAGTTCCAGTTTCACCTGAACGGCACCCTAAAACACCCAAATGTTCACTTTATAATCATGTCGCTAATTATTTAGTATAAAAGGCACAATCTGAACGCGTGCGTGTTAAAACCAATCTGGAGCCGAACATGTAAACGTAGCTACAGCTAAATAATAGCTGTAAGTTTCTGGTATGTTATTAAGTCTCAACATACCAGAATAAATGACACAAATAGAGCATTCTGTCAGATTGCTGAATATTTGTTTTTGGATGCCTTCCTTTTGTTTGAAATCTTTCAAGCGCATCACTTTTGCAGACATGCACTAATACGCTGGAAACGCACGACTCCACTAGTTCTACTGTACTTGATTATTCCGGTGGAAATATGGCTGGAAAAGCCTCGTATGCGTCTAATCGCCTTTCCAAACCAGACGAAAACGAACAGAGGCGCTGGAGATCCCAAACATCGCCCCGATACTATAGCAGGTAAAGCCCAACTCACCGAACTGGCCATTGTGGGGGCCACGGGATAATGCTATTTCATGGAGAATTTGGTTTAAATAAGGACACCGAGGACTGTAGACGCCCGATGGCGGACATGGTCTTTTAATTGAGCTCTCTTGAGTTTTCAAAGGCTGAGGAGTAAAGTGAGACGCATGCGCGTGCGTGCACGAGACGAGCCAATGGCAGCGAGAGCGAGTGAAGAGTCACTATTAACCTATTAACACTATTATTACATAGCCTATATTTTCTACATTGTATGTGCTCCTATTGTATATTTATACTTTTCTACTGTTGCTGTAATTAATTGCAAGTTCATTTTTAAAATAAAATGTGAGTGAGTGACTAATATAGACTATTATCTTTAATATGGTCTATTGGTTTACACTGGCCTTGTTTCACACTATGTGTGCATTGTAAAAAATTTTTTTTACAATGTTTAGTAAAAATTATGTTATATTTTATACGTCATACATGTAGTTATACTGTAAAATATGGTTAAAATTTATTTATAAGTAAAAAACATAGTACGAAAATTTATTGTTTTATTTTTATAAATCTTATATATATATATATATATATGTATATATATATATATATATATGTAATATAAGCCACATTTAGTCACTACTATTATAAGTAAGAAATACTTTCTTTATTATTTATTGGGAAAATAGATATAGAACAAAAGTCTAGGCACCTGATTGTAAGACATGTGTAGGCTATACAGGTCATGTTTATGTTTAAAATAATTCTTTATATAAAATGTTAACATGACATTTGATAAATTTGCATAAATAAAGAAAGAACGACCTCAGTCAATGTAAGAAAAGTGTTAAAAGGGTACTCCTTTTCGAGTTAAATCTGAGAGTGCCATAATGTACTTTAAATACATGAATTATATGATATATGTACGCAGTTAAAATGTCAAGAAATAATTACGTTGACATTAGATTAACGTATCGCTTTTTCCGTATGTTTGGTCCTCCACGCGCGCCGTAGAAGCATGTTGCCATTAGGAGGGTTTCGAGAAAAAGTTAGCAAAGTGCATCTAAACGTCACTGGAATTTAGGAATTCTCTGGGTAAGAATATATTATGTGTCACATCAGCCTGCATGTTTATGTGATGCCAACATTGTTAACTCAGTTAAAGAGTGGTGAAACTGACAACTGCTCGTTAGCAGGTTTTCTGTATGACAGCGCATATAAACAAGGACGTTTCTTTCACTGCTAAATACATATTTGGAATTGATCAACATCATTTCATCTCACAAATCCGGAACTAAATTAAGCTTCCAAACAATGCTGAGGTATCACTATGGTATCGGATTGTGATGCCATGGTGTTGAATGATTACTTTATTCTTGTAAAATGGTGTTTACGTGAAAATACCTTAGTACGTATCCAGAAACCATGGTATTACCGTCGAGCATGTCCATTGTGTTAGAATAATGGAATCTTTACAAAACTGACATATTATACCAGCTAACTTAGTCTAGCCAGTCAAACTCAGCATCACTTAAACAATGATGCATTATTGTGGACACACAAGCAGTGCAGAGCAAGCAGTCCAGAGCCCAAGCCTTTGTGCATGTGGACAAGTAGCCACAGGCTGGAAATCCCTGGAATATTTTCAGTTCTCTGCTTTGCTGACAAAAGCGTGTGTAAAAATGATCTGATAAAACAAACAACTAGTTTGTCAACATGTTTACACAAACCTCTGCCTACAAAAATGGTGTAAAAAAAAACATGCAAATTTGATTCAAACATGACTAAACATTATTTTATGGCATTTTCTTTATGCATTGTCCACCATCTGTCATTACTGAATGCAAATCAATCTCAAGCTTAAGCTAATAACTCTTATTTTTTCTCAGTATATTTTAAATCTGTCTCCAAAATATCACCCTTTTGCAAAGTTACAATCTGCTACAACATAGAAATCCACTTTTCTCGTATTAAAGTAGCACATGAACATGTAGCATTTTGGCTTGTATAGTTTTGACATAAATTGTCATATGAATTTCAAATCTTACCTGACTTGCCCGAGCCGCTCTTTGCTGTCAGTAACACTGCTGTAGTAAAACTGTCACACTGGATGGAAACACAGCAGGTATATCATCATGCACATTGCACACGCAGCGCTTGCTTGTGGGATATCGGTCCCAGGAGGGGTGAGGCAGCATTTTAGAGCTTGCATTGTCGGTCTTTCTCCCATGTGCCATGGTATAAACCTGAATCTCCAGTGGCCATCAGCCAGTGTCAGTCAAATCAACAGCTGGTAATGTCATTACCCTACACTGGGAGTCCATATGAGACAACATATGAGATGCCAGAGTCGGCGGTCCGCAACTGGAAGGACATTGAAGCTTTGGCAAAAGTCACTTGTGAATAATGCATCCCATTGATGTGGTTGCCAGTGCCATCTGTCAGATGGTTGTGTCTTCTGAGTTTAGATGCCAGCTATATGTCTCAGGCCTTTATTTAATTTCACCTTAGATTACATCAGTTTGAAGTGGTGTTGGGTTATTCTTATTATGGTCTAACAGTATCATCAACAGCTGGTAATGTCATTACCCTACACTGGGAGTCCATATGAGACAACATATGAGATGCCAGAGTCGGCGGTCCGCAACTGGAAGGACATTGAAGCTTTGGCAAAAGTCACTTGTGAATAATGCATCCCATTGATGTGGTTGCCAGTGCCATCTGTCAGATGGTTGTGTCTTCTGAGTTTAGATGCAAGCAGGCTATATGTCTCAGGCCTTTATTTAATTTCACCTTAGATTACATCAGTTTGAAGTGGTGTTGGGTTATTCTTATTATGGTCTAACAGTATCGCCCTGAAGGCGGTTTTTGTCCCGTTGCACCTGTTTGGTGTGTTTGATCCCTTGACATTTGTGATCTGAATGATAAGGCGTTAACATGAGGTCGCTGCACAGCTGTTTTTAACAGATGATGTCAGTTTGTATGTCAGTTTCTTCATTTCAGGAAATGAGGGTTGATTCTAAAAATGTGAAGTAAATTTCCCATGACTTAATTTTTCATATGACTCGATTTGCGGTTGCATGCTACACATTTGAGAAATTCTGTTCTTTTCAAATCTTTTGAATCTTAATGTCAGTAAGAAGTCAAAGGTTTGGGGTCAGCAAGATGTTTGAAAGAAATGAATACCTTTATAAAGTAAGAAGAATACATTACATTGAATACATGACATTTATAATGTTACAGTGAAAAGATTTCTGTTTCAAGTAAATGCTGTTTTGAACTTTATATTCATCAAAAAAATCACAAATGTTTTCCACATTGATATTAATAAGAAATGTTTCTTGAATAGCAAATCAGCATATTAGAATGACTTCTGAAGGATCATGTGACAGTGAAAACTGAAGTAATGGCTGCAAAAAATTCAACTTTACCATCACAGGAATAAACTTGATTTTAAAATGCATTTAAATAGAAAACTGTTATTGAAAATTGTAATAATATTTCAAAATATTAGCCTACTGTATTTTTCTGTATTTTGATCAAATGAATGCCTTGTTAGTCAAAAATGTATATAAAAAAAAAATTATAGAGCCCACATTTTTGAACAGTACACCAAAAAAAGAAAATGGTGTCAAAACAGTTTTCACTCAGAAATTGCTAGTAAATTTCAGAAATACTCATAAAGAAATGGCAAGTAACACATTAAATTAAACATGAAATTTCAAGTTAAAAACTACTCCAATTGTTTTTTTGTTTTTTTTTACAACTTCGAAAAAAATCATTTTTACAGTGGTGTACCTTTTGACATTGCCAGTACACATTCCTGGTTTTATTGTATGCCATTTATCAGAATTAATTATTCTGAAGAAATGTTATCCTTCCTAATTTTATCAAAAATCTCTTACCTTTTCAACACCTACTCTCCTGCGACCTGTCATCTAGAGACAGTTGTTCCAAGATCCTATCCAATCCTTTTGGTTAAGATTGAGTACTTTATGTTTTGTCATTGAATTATCTGTTTCAATCAAAGGTATGCCTTTTTTTTTGCAAGTAAAACAGGCTGGGGATGCCTTTTTAATTTGACTAAAAATGACCAATTCCATATGATGTTTGTTTTTAGTATGGGGCATCATTCGTGATTTCTGGAGATGACTGAAATTTTGAAGACCAGGTTTGAGTTCCCCAGCTCCCTCATTCAAACTCAGGTAAAGCACTCAAAAACAGACTGATGATTTAAGCATTTAGAGGTAAATCAAGGTTCGAATTCCACAGCAATTCAATTAAATGCTTATCTATCCCACATAGGGATGTCAATTTTCGATCATTTCCATGATCGATCGTCGTTTAAATTAACGATCAATTAATCGATTAATCGTTAACCTTAATGCTGCAATCCCGCTTTCTCACCCGATTTAAAGGGGATTTAGTCTGAATAAAATGCTAGTAGCAGGATTGTAAAATGAATAGATGTGATTATGATCATTTGATAAAATAAAGAGAGCTTGTTTGAGATCATTTGACTTTGTTTGACTGTTTCCTATCCCGACACGGAGACCTCTGAACGCGCCTCTTTAAATGGTTTTGTGGTGCTCGTTGTTGTATTTTAAAACACAATTGCAATGTTTTCAACTGACATTATGGCATTAAAAATAAAATGATCCCAAACGTAACTGTGGCGCGTACCTGTGCCCTAGGCTAGTTAGGTCCTGCAGAAACTTGTGAACGAATATAGTCAGTGTCGGTTACAGCGCCTTTTAATTGCTGTTTTTATCCAGTAATTATTCATTTACAAATTATAAGCTCTGATTATGACAATAAGTCTGCGATCCGCCGTAAAGCAAGAAGAAGAAGAAGACGCCTCTTACATTATATGACTGACAGACTGCAACGGTTTGAGTTAAAAATCTTCGTTTGTGTTCTACTGAAGAAACAAAGTCACCTACATCTTGGATGCTAAGCAGATAGACATCAAATTTTCATTTTTGGGTGAACTATATCCCTTTAACCATTTAAAGGAAATATGTGCTCTTTAGTTTTTCTGGACCGTTTATGCTACTCTTACAACTCACTGGCTTTCTCACTTATGTATTTTTGCTCATGTAGAATGTTTTGCATGTTGAACTTGTGTTTTATATCAACAGGG